GGGGGGGGGGGAACGACGACGAACCGCCGCACACTTTCGCCACTGCACGGGAGAGGGGGACGGGGGCTGCATGTGCGCAGCGTCGCTCGCGGATCTCCAAAGAGTGATCTCAGCATCCCGCAGGCTCGGTCAAAAGCAGCGACGAAACGTCAGCCGCTGCCAGACATGGATGAAGGAATCTCCCGCTTGCCGGAGAGGCAGCTACTGGAGCACAGGGATTTTATAGGGTAAGGCGCCGGGGCAGCACCTCCGCCTCGTCTCCCTCCGGCGTTTCGCCTTCTGGAGAAAGTGCTGCGAAGCGCTGGAAGCAGAGCCGGCTCCGCGGCGGGGCGCGGGGCTCGCCACCCGCGGCCGGCGGACCCGGGCGATCCCTCGCCCGGCCCTTCGGGCAGAGCGCTCGGCTCCCCGCGCGGCGCTGGGGGTCTCTTTGCCCACTCGCGGAGGCGCTAGGCTAGCCCTCGCTCTTGCCGGTGCTGGATCTCTGTGTTTTTCTCCAGGCTGGACTACCCTTCCCTGTATATGTGCAAGCCCAAAAGAGGCGTGAAGAGGGACGAGAGCAAGGTAAGAGTAAGTTTTTGGGGCTGTTCTCGCGTAAGCGCTTCATCGGGGTTCGCCGAATTTTACGGCGCAGCTTCACTCCCCAGAGCATCCCCGGGGGGCTGCGCTTCTAACCCCCCCCCCCCGGGTTGCAAGCGGGTTTACGAGCGAGCTGGCACGGCGGGGAGAGCGGTGTCTCGGCGATAATTTGCGCGGCATGTGGTCGGCATGACATTTGTTTTGGTTGCGATCGTCGTTCCGAGGGACTCTGTCTAACGCTTGGCTTTTCCGGATTTTGCTAATTAGGAAACGTACAAACTGCCGCACAGACTGATAGAAAAGAAGAGGCGAGACAGGATTAACGAATGCATTGCCCAGCTGAAGGATTTACTGCCCGAGCATCTGAAATTGACGGTAAGGCGCAGAGGAGCGCAGTAGATGGACGTGCAAGATGCAGGCGCCGGCAGCCTTGCCCGCTGCGCAGCCGCCGGGGCGGCGGGGGCTCGGGCTGCCCCCGGCTGCGGCGGCGGCCCCGGCCCTAACGCCCCTCGGGGACCGGTTTCCCCGAAGTTA